CGACACCCACACCCACACCCACACCCACACCCACCGACACCCACACCCACACCCACACCCACCGACACCCACACCCACACCCACACCCACCGACACCCACACCCACACCCACACCCACACCCATAGACGAGCGAGGAATTCTGACTTTATTTGAACAAAAAAAAAACTTTATTGTTCAATGTCTAGAGTATGAAGTCATTTACGAGTGTCGAAGGGAAAACTCTGCAACTCCAAAACCAAAATCAAGTCGAAGATGACGAAGACGATCGTCCATCTGCTGCATAAGAGTTAATGCCTGCTGGGCTATTTGTTCGTAAGGTGTTCGATTCTGACCGCACATTCGAATGATTTCGTAAGAAACAAAGCTTAGCGATGAAATGCCAATGAAGAGAGAGCCGAGAATCCGTGCTATATCTTTTTTATTCGGGCTCATGGTACTCAGCAAAAGCGTTGACAAGTTCGGCAGATGTTGTGGTAAAGTGTCAAATGATCTGATGTAACATTGTCGCAAATCGAGCATTTTAATGGACGAAAGTGGATGATGTGTCTGAGTAAAATTCTCGTTTCCAGTAATGAGGCTTCGCAAGCTTGGCATCTGATCGAGTAATTGAGGAAGAAGTCCGTGGCAAACACAAGCTCTGTCGTGACAATTTGAGGCAAAGCGAAGAAAATGGACGTGATAGAAAATATCTCGATCAACAATTGTCTCTGAAACGCGGTTACCTTCTTCATGAACGAATGTCAAAGTACAAATGATCCAGGTGAGATATGGCATATGTCTTGATAGTGATCGAAACGAAATGGGACGAGTAATATGAGTTCGCGTGATATAGAGATGGCGGACAGTAGGGAACGAAGACTGAGTATTGAGCTCAGAGCACGAAGTGAATCCATGAAGTTTATCAAAGGCGAACGGCAGCGAATAGACATGCAAACTGACCTTGAGGATGTGATTCGTTAATGCCTTCAACATGATATCCCATGTGATCGAGAGTCGACGGTATCATAATTACGTTTGAGCTTTTGTCTTCGACTATGATTGAGAGATAGAAATCGAATCGGTCAAATGAGTTTCTATACCGTACGAGTGTTGACCAGAGATCTTTATTAAACATAATATGATGCAACTTGAGAGCAACTCTTTTGAGCACTGTTTTACTTGGGCAACACCGATAACTAAAAAGCTCGATTTGGTTTAACGGCAAGAGCTCGTTGTTATTTGTGTAACTAGGAAACAAATACGCTGAATCTTCACCATGGCTCGTACTAATCGATAGATGCCGCAAGTAATTTAAGCGACGAAAGTTGGAAACCAATTTATTGAAGGAATAAGACTCGCCATTGTCGACATAGCGTTTATTGAAGACGTTGGTGAGATTGACATCAAGATGTAGAATGTTAGGTGTATGACCGAGCATTTCTACTAGATGAATGATTGAGCGAACTCACAAATTAAATAAATCAGCTTTTGATGGAAAGCGTCCGCCTTCAGTGTAGTATTTGTCGAGAATCGGATCACTGTTTCAGGAATTAGTCTATTTTTCTGATAATTGTCAATATCATTATCATCAAACCACAGACTGAGGTTCTTCAGATTCATGCGAGACACTAGAACGTCCCAGTTGGCTACATTAATAAGACTAATCGAGTGGATTTGGTTAAATCGATAGTCGGTTAAGAAATGAATGTGATGTTGATCAATTTTTAGCATTTGGATCATCCCGGAGATCCATTCCAACTGTTGTCCATCTCCTTGCCAACCATCAGTGAGATCGATTCGTTTGATATAGAAGTGAATGAGATCAGCATAGCGATGAGTAAGTTGTGCAAATGCTCGAAGAAGATCGACAGTGGAAAGAAAGTCGAAGATACAGTAGATCACTTCGTTTGGAAGTACAACGAATCGGGTTTGCCCTAGTGACATGTTGTGTCTGTCGAACTGGAAGCAACAGAATGAAATTCAAGATCGTCACAGCAAACGGTGGAAGTGTGAAACTCGTTTGGGATGTATAGCAGAACTAATGATTTTAGTCTGCTAATGACTTAAAGAGCTCACATAAACTGTCTACCTTCCTTTGTCGTCGTAACATATAATGGTATTGAGGAGTTATTCTGTTTAAAATGTGTTATTTTGAAAAGAATAAAACATAAGAATAACAAGTAACCACGAATATAATAATAAAGAAGATAATAAAGAGTGGAAATATGGTCGATTACACAAGAAAAACAAAACAAATGGAAAGGTTCAAAACAAGATACATTAAAGAGGAAAGAAGAAAACCAATAGCAAATAGTGAGCAGAGTTAGCGTCAGAGAGTGACATCGGTTGACACTAACAAGAATAGAAAGAAATTGGCAGAGCGATTGAAAGAATGTAATAGCGCAGTGAATCGTACGAAAAGTGAATTTGTTGACATTGCCAACGGCACTACGGGGAAGAACGAGAAAAAAATTGATATAATCTTGAATATCGAACAATGCACCACACATCTACGATCGAAGATCATGACTCTCATTCCAACGAAAACAATCTCTATCGTCATCAAACTTTTCAGCTCATATTTCGCATTCTAAGACATAACAAGTCACCAACTAAAATTGCATCTATTTTATATTGTAATTAGGCATTAAGTTCAAACACTGTATTAAATCGCACGTTGCACATAAAAACTGCAATACTCCACTTTTTGATTTGACGTGTTTCCACTTCGAGACCAATCTTTCCTTGCATACGTAGGCATCAAAGTTTCTTCCACTACGGAAAGATATTTGTACTCTCACGCATCCGAGGGTGTGGGTGTGGGTGTGTGGAAGGGATGTCATAATATCCGGAACTCGGATATCGAGATTTTCAAACATCGATATATCCCAGAATAGCTAGGAATTTGAGTGCATTTGGTGTAACGAGATGGATACCCGAAAAAGTCGGTTTCGGTGGGAGTGTGGACGTCGATTGGTATGTGAGTGGGGTTCTGGAAGCGTGCAAGACTAACATGCACACGCCAACACCCACACACAGACGAGGGGCTGTGCTTTGTGTGTGCTGCCCTGTATGTGAGTGAAAAGCGAAAATGCGGTACTTCAGTGTACTCCAATATTATACCAAAACAATTCTTTAAAAACTTTTTCTATTTCAACTTTATTATCGACCTGTGTTACGGTGCTTTACGCGGAATCCAGCTTGAATATGTCTGTTTGACAGCAAAGTCAAAACACTTAGCTGTACTCCATTAACTGCGGAGCAACTAATTGAGTACATTTTTTCATCGAAGATATATTAAACAAACTGCGGTATTGCCGTGGGATGCGATTCTCGGTACATTCCAATATACTTTATTTAGTATTCAATTCAACCAGAAGTCTTGCAGAATGATCCAAAGTGAGTTTCCATCGAGAGCCGCATAGTTACTTTAAACTCACTAAAAATTCTCACTTTTTACAGATAGGGTATCCATTTTTTCGGGTATCCAGTGAAGTGGATATCGTGACTAGTAACTTGCGGATACCTAGCTTATGGATATTATGACATCTCTGTCATATTATTGCTGATGCCATTGGACATTTAAGCTGCTGTACTAAATCAAAGGGTGATGTTTCAACGTTCCTGACTGAATTGTTATGCATTTCAAGCACGTAAGTAACGGTATGGACAACGGAGATTCATAAATTATTCAGGCTAAATCATCGACAATGATGGTCATTCTTATATATACAACGACGTATTCCTGTTTTTCTCTTTCAGGATTCGTTAATGATAAAGCAATTGATTATGAAAACAGCTGTAGTAGCACAAATGATATTGAAAATTTTAGGGTCAATGCTTTTACGCTTTCAGTCTGTTCGATTTTTCAAATGCTATGAATGAAAGAGTGAGGTTGAGAAAGGGTTTACAATAAAAAATATTGAAAGCATCGTATACGCATATGTAGATACCTATGCTATAGGATCATCGTTAGCTGTGTTTATCGTTCAAGCAATACGAAAACAAAAGTTAACTACGTAGATCTTTCACCAAATTAAAGCATGAAAGATTTTATTTGAATTGAAAAAGCACACTTTCAAAAAACTAGAAAAAAATGTTGAAAATAAAGATCAAGATTCTAAGCTAATCCTTCTTTCTAAGTTCGAGTTTCATCGTTTCGGTATTTTCAGGAAATATTCCACGAACATCTTCAATTTTGTAATCCATTTCGACTTGTGTGTCTTGACCATCGAGAGCAAATAAATCAAATTGAGACAAATCACTTTCTGAAAAATTTAATTTTAACAAAGCTTCTTCAACCAATTCCGATGCTAAAGTTTCATCTGTGCATGGAATCAAAATTTCCGCTTGTTCAAATTTAATCGAAGCTTTTAACGGAGAATTACAAATCAATTCGAATTTTACTTCATCAGAACCAGTATCAAGATCTTCCAAACAGTTTTCACCGTCGGATAATTCCATTCCATCAAACATAAGTTGATAAAATTTTGAATTTAAATGCATAAATTGACATGCGATCGAGCACAAACGATTGAACTGCGCTTTAAGTGAACAGTAATAATTGATGGTTTGCTTGTCGATGCTGTTTTCAACGATAATATGTATCGGTAGTTTTTCATTGATCACATCGAATTCAATCGGTGATGTTGATGTGAAAACTGATAACGAAGTTTCCATTGATGGAAGAAAATCCTTTTCAAATAGAAGATATTCATTTTGATCGTTTATGTGATTCGCTTTGTAAACATCACCGATGGTGGCAAATGATGCAAAATCTTGTTTCATGTTCGTTTGATCATCATCGATCGAAATCAATTGATTTTCAGTTGATCTTCGAATATGAATCGAACAAAATTGATTTTCTTTCATCAACAAAAATCGTGTTTCATTCACATCCGATAATAGATGGTGAAAATCGATGATTTTCTTCGTTTGATATGACGCTAGATATTTGTAACCCCGTTCCGATCCTTTGGAAATTTGAAATAATTCTTCAATCGTCACTTTTCTGTTAAATAGAAGAACTTCTTCAGGTTTTTCACTGTTGTTTGAAGTTGAAATTTGAATGAGAAGAGCAATACGAAATTCAACGACTTCTTGATCATCACCAGAAAATTCACCGATCGGCTTTCGTGTATCTTCATTTGAAAGTCTTTGATCAGGATTTTCTCCTAGAGCTAAAACACAATCGCGACAAGAATCGAAATTTAAATTCAATTTTGGTAAAAGATTTTCATTGTTCAATAATTGATTAATTTTCGTTGCTTTTAACACACAGATTTTTTCACATTGATTTTCATAAGAAATCTTCACTTTCATTGTTGAATCTCGACTAATCACATCGATCGTAATCGGTTCAACTGTTGACAAAATTCTATCGGTTTCTTCGACAATGCTGTTCTTTTCCTTGAGAAAATAACTGAAATATTCTTTGCCAAGATTTTCCGCTACAGGTTGTTCTCGAAACCAATTATCAAAATTCTGCCAGACTGTATTTGGATGAAGTAAAATTCTTTTCTCTTCATCTAAAACGAGAAATATTGTGTTGTAAAATCATCATAGAGAATCTTAATATTTACCTTGAGCTGTTCGATAGAGAATTTCGTTGAATGAAATCGATCGATTTTCTTCAGTGAGAATCAGACGAACTTTTCTCTTCTCTTGATCATTGACTGAGAAAAGATCTCCAATAATTCCGTCATAAATCAATCGCTGATTTTCATCGAAGAAACAGATAATATTCTCTGTATTTAGATTTAAACCGAGCTTAGGATCGTTCATAAATCGACTGAAAACATTGATCACGGAACATTCTGATTTGGTGAAATAATCAACCGATCGTTCTCCATACTCAACTTTAACTTGTATCAAAGATGTCCTTTCAAGAATCGAATATTCCGTAGGAAAATCGCGTGGAAGTGATGGATTATCATCGTTTAGATCAAGACTTATTTGATATTTATCGACTGGTATCAATGTTTCAAATGAATAACGTTTATCTTTGAATGTTTTTCGAAATTGTTCAAAAACTTTTTCTTTTCTCAACAGATGGGAACTCGTTGTTCCATCTGGATGAATAATAGTGACACGTTTGGGTCTGTTATCTTCTTCATTGTTTGGATTTTTCAATTTATTTAATAGATCAAGCCAAGGTGATGATTCGAATGAAAGAGATTTGATTTGCATCGTGTACAAAGATGGAGAATCAATTTTTTCATCGTCCATGATTTCATCTTTTTTCATTTGTTGATTATCGATTGTTGTTCTCATTGGTACTTGATCATCGTCATCAAGTAAATGATGAACATCATTCCGATGGTCATTGTTACCTATCGTTTTTGGTGGAAGATCGAATCCATCTATTCCAATAAGATCGTTGGTGAATTCATCTTGTGAATTTTCTTCTCTACTGTTCAAATAATTAAGAAATGGATTCTTTAATTCAGTTGGATTTTGATTTTCATCGATTCCTTCTGTCCATACAATATTTTGTTTTTCTTGAATATTAACTAATTTTTCTTGAAGAATCGAACGACATCGAATCAAATGAATACTTAATGAAACATAATTTTCACAACGAATTTCAGAAGGGATCCATAATAAAATTGGGCTTTCTATCGTCAAATATTCACATGTTTTACTTAATGATTGTGTCGATTGCTCAAATAGAGAAGTTTCAATCGCACGTAACTCATTAAGAAATTCACTTATCGTTTGAATTGTTGATTTCAATTTCTCATCACTATCATCGTATTTCATGTCGATTAAATTGACTTTGATTGCTTGTTTTAATTCTTCGTTTAATTGATCATTGATTGGAGTCCGTAATAGATGAGGAACATCGGTAAATAAATATTGAAAATTACTAATGGCATTAGAATACAATTCCTGAATATGACTCAAATAACATAGTTGAAAATTTCGTATTTCATAGAGTTCACATTGTTCTCGAATACTTTGATCGTTGGCGTGAATATCTAAAAATTCATTGAGACTTAAATGTGAAAGATCATTCTCATTTGATTTAATTAACAACATAATTTGTCGAAGAAGTTTATAACCATTGGTAAGTTTATCGACTAACATATCTTTTAGGTGACTCCATTCTATTTCTAATTTGTCACGATCGATGTGTTTCGAATAATTTTCATCGAGTTCAATCATTTCAGATTCATTATTGGTTTGATTCTTTCGTTTATAACATTGATATTTTTGAACAATATGACGAAAATTTATTCGACATGATAATAAATGCGTTCGAACAATGTAAGATTGAATGTAACGAAAATCGAATTTCAATAAATTTTCTTTGATTTCAAAAATATTCTCTGTATCAGTAATTAAACTAGCACGAGATAATTTCGACAACCATAAAACGTCATCTGCTGTAAGTGTAATTACACCAGTATTATCACGAGCAATTTGTAAAATTGAAACATCTTTTGAAACTATATCATAAACTAAACTCTTGAGAACAGTCCTATTATCATTGGGATCATTTTTCAATTCTTTTTCTAACAGTTCCAATAAGCCATTGTGATAATCAGCAAGTACACTGAAATGAAACGAAGAGAGAAAGATCAAGAGATCTTTTTCGACTTCTATTATTATTTACCTTAGAATTCTCATAACGATATCGCCTTCATCAGGATTTTCATTCGTTACTAAATAATGAATTGGTGTTTGACTAGAAACTTGATCAAAACGTTGAGTTTCATCACAAGCTCCTGGTTGAATCAATCCATCAGCAAACTTATGATATAAATTGACAGCTTCTATTCCATTTTTAATGATCGAATGATGTTGTGCACGAAGACGTTGATCAACAATATTCGAATTTTGTTCAGCACATTTCGATAAATCTTCCAATGTTGTTTCAATAAATTTATCTCGTTCAATCAATAAACTGTAAGTTTGATGTAAAAGAAGATAAAATTGACTCAAATCATAAATCGCTCGAGTCATTTCAAGAAAACCAGTAGCACTTAGAAAACGTCGTAAAATATTTAATGATAACGAAGAATTCTTTGGATTATAAAGTTCAGTTTTGAAATGTTCATAATTAACAGCAATTGGCATTTGGTCGATATAGACTTGTAAATTTGCTTGAATCTCTGATTGTAAACTTAATTGATTAATTTGCGCTTTGTACTCGGGTAATTTTTGAAGAATAAAATAGAAGACGTGTTGTTGATATTGGTCTTCAGCGTTCAATTGGTCATTATACGCTGTGTAAACAGGTTTAATCCAATGCTGTTGACGAAGAGTTAAATATGCCATTTTTTCTGAGCAGCGATTAATCAGTATACATGTATCATCTTGGTTGAAACGCATGCAAAGAAAATGATAAGTAGATAAAAGACGAGCACAAACGAAATGACACACTTTTGTTCGCTCCTGGTTGCCCACTACTTGGCACACTTTCGATGGGTCATCAATAGCATGTTTTGCTAAGACAGGTCCATACAAATTTCTCTCTGAATCTTGGTATAATAATAAATGCCAGGCCTTAAAAAGAAGATAATAGATTCAAATCAGTACGAATCAATCAGTTTACCATGGCACCAAAAGTTGAAAAATATGCCACATAGATTCCTGGCACATTCAATGGACCAGGTCTTCCTGAAAATTGTAGCAATTCGCCGTTTTCATCGATGACGCAGCCACAATCATAATGCACTCCATGCTCTTCAATTGGCTGTTGAGCTGTGGTGCCAAAACCTAGAAGAATATCAATGATCATTTCATGACAGATGATTAAAATGCATTTGATTACTGACCGTGAGTGTGTAGTAAACTTAGCGGTTGAAACGCAAACGACCAGAGAAAACTTTGTTTCCCACCGAGAAGAATCATCGCCATCAGATTGACTAAACAGTGGCGAATTCGAAGTTCGTCTTCATTTTGACATTGAGGAGTAAAGAAATCATTCAATGTATTTCGTTCATCCTGCGGATTTCTTGGATAACCAATCATGGATCGTTCAGGTTGACTGAGAGCTCGAAAAACGAGTCTTTCCTCTACTAATAGATCTAAATCTCTTTCGATAATCGGCAACAATGAATCAATCGATTGCAATCGATCTTGACAAAGATATTCGTAGTAAATATGTAATAAGACGATCACTTTGATTTCAATGAGTTGAATTTTCGGTGGATTTCCTTGACGATTCAAAGCAATCCAATCTGTAAATGGTTTCCAACGTTGTTCATCATTGTTTTGAGTGACACATTGATCAACAATCCTTTTCAATTCTTCGTAAGGCTGTTGAAGATGAGGAAAGATTGATTGCTCATTATTTGACGCTAATGTGAATTCTAGTTGATGACTCATCTGTAATGAAGATTGTCTTGCTGCAGTTGCTTGTCCATTCTCAAAAAATCGAGATAAAGTCGTAGACCATTGTTGATTCTGCTGTTGAACATCATGTGATTTAAGCACTTTCAAAAGATGATTCCATGAAAATTTGGAAACGATTGTCGAAAGAAAATTTTGAAGAGGTTCGCTCAGTTTTGTTTCATTATTTTGAATTGATAGATAATTATTGATCATATATAGAAGTATACGATTGACATCAGCTTGATCTTCAACTGAGCCATGGGTTTGACAAAGAAGAAGAGCTGTCGATTGAATGAGAAAATAATCTTTGATTTGTCGAAAAATAGCCTCGACTAATGGTTGAAGTTGACGAATATCAGCAGGTGGAACCGTCGATAGCATGATTTTATTGATCAATTTGCAATGAACTACTTCATTGGTCATCGAACGTTTTAAATGAGAGAAGAAAAGATCGAGCAATGCTGATCGAGCGTTTTCTTGAGTGACCACCACGGATGGATGATATGGTAAACGATAATTTTCAAGTGAATTTCCATCGGACACACATTGAATCATTGTTGGGAGAAGAAGAATACGATCCCATGTATCTTTAATTATTTGATTTCGTTGCACGTATTTGAGATAAATATTCGCCAATTCATCAAAAAGAAATTCTTTTATCGGCAATGTCAACGGACAAGTTGGTTGATTCAAATATTTAAACACTGATAAGATTTCGTCACGATATGAATCATCAGTAGCTTTTAAAATTGAAATTATCCATTGTTGAACATCGATCATTAACGTTGATTTCGGAAGATTCTTTTCTTCGATATAATCGTTGATGGTTTCAATAATCGATGAATACCTTCCAATATAGGGTGATTTTTGTTGTCCACCTTGATAGTTTGGTTCATTCTGTTGAAGAAATTCGAATTGTTGAAGTAATTTGATCACAAGTTCTTCAGATTTTGTCAAATTTTCATTAGGAAGAATAAAATGAGCCAAATTCATAAATTCAATACGAGATTTAATATCAATCAATTGTGTTTGTTCAAGAACTTTACTAGATGGATAATATTTCGATATCATTGTATAACATAAAATCCACGTTTCTTTAGTTTGATCATTGAAACGTACATCAGAAAGATTTTTCCATAGATCATCAAACATTTGTCGAAATAAACGTTCACGAACGAGACTTCGTGTTGGATTATCATTGTCAAACAATTGATGATAGAATGTTTGAGTTTGATCAAGACGATCCATTATTCGACACGCTGAATACAAAGAAAATAAATCATTTCGATCGCATTCGAATGATGTGTAAACATGAGCCAATCGCCAAATATCTTCATGACGATATTCATCTAATACTCGTTGTTCATTTTCATCGACTAAACGTAACCATCGAGAGACGAATTCAATTGATTTTTGACATTTGACACGATCATCAGTGAAATTTTTCTCAACAATCGTGCAAAATGTTTGAACTAAATCGTTTGAATATGTTTCCAGAACGGATTTGTTGACAATTTTCATTAAAATCGAATCTTTTTCAATCGCTTTGATCAATTCAAATCGAAATTCTTCGATAGTATGTTCATTTTCATTCGCATTATTCATTTCATAATCATCAGGTACTGCATAGTAATGTTCTTTGAGATCATCTTCAGTGGCTAAATTACGTTTTTGCTCGACTGTTTTTTGAATGAGTCTCATTTTAATTTCATCCGAATAGGATTTGATTCGTTGATGAAAAAGATGATAGAGTGGTGTTTGAGGAATACATGCGTAATGTGTCACCAATTGAAAAACAGTTTGAGTGTTAGTTGAAAGAAAATCGTTGTCTTGTTCATTTGATATTGATACATGGTCAATTAGATTCAACATAGTATCATACCCATCATTGATGTTTGAAAGTTTCGGTAAAGTTTCTAATCCATAATCATTAACAATGTGTTTGAGAATATTGCATACAAAGTTGTTGAACGAAAGTCGAGTTTGAGATTGAATTGAATCAACAAGACCGTCAAAACGTTTTCCACAAAGAATATCTTTAGACAGTTGATAGATCAATGTGTAAATTTTCTTTGATGCATTCTTTTTTAACGATAGATAAGTCTGGTATTTGTTGACAATTCGTTTTTGTAATTCGGTACATTGTCTAAGAATTTCTTTCAAGCATTGAACACGTCGAAATGTACTCGTTTGACGTTGATAAAATTCATAAGCACATCGATTTCCGAATAAATCTCTTGGTAGTTGTTGAAGAACAATTTGAATTCGAGAACAAAAATCCCAGAGACAATCGTCAAACAAAACATTGTAATCACAAAGTATCTGATTATCGTTTTGATGTGCTCTGTTATCGTACGATGAAGTGAGAATTTGTATGAGATTCTTTATATAAAATGAATTGTTTGATAAACATGTATCAAAGAAATGAAAATCCCAATGATGTAGAAATATCGATGGAAATGATGATTGATGATAAATTGTTTGTGCTGGTGAATGTACGAGCAGAATAAAATATTTCAAATTATCTTGTTTTTCTGAATTACATCGATAATCAGCTTTGTCAATTAATTGTCGAACATACGGAATATGTAAACGTTGTTGATTGGTACGACCGTTGATTACGATCATAAGCAAATTTTTCTCAGCATTATTTTCATATTTTGTAAACTGTTCTTCTAATTCAGCAGAATTTTCGATGATCGACTAAAAGTAAGCATACACATTCTCTCTCAAGAATCATCTATGTTAACGATTCTACATACCAGACTGAGAATATCAACTTTGTCACTGAAAAGATTTAAATCATCTTCATTTAAAGATGAAAAGAATTCACGTTTGGTTTGTTGATTAAGACCAGTGATATGAGACGATGTTCGTGTAAATATCATCACTTTAGTTGCTGAACGCAATATTTCCTTTGGTCGATCGTCAATATTTTCCAAATCCAAAATGTCCATGGAAGTTATTGGTGATGTCGTTAAAGTTCGAAGAAAATTCTCAAGACTAAAATGTTCTTGATTTTCAAAGTAATTTGTACAGATCCAGCGTGATACTTGATCTTCGAACGTTGGCAATTTCAAAATGATAGATTCTGGAGAGATCAATTGCATCAATCTCGATAGAACCAATCGTAAAAGACATTGAAAAGTGTTGGTTAGATTCTGTTCGATCACGGATTTTGATTTTATTATCAATTGCGTGTATTGTTGATGAATATTAAGATAATATCGTTCTTCTTCATCATTTTTCTCGATCAATCCCAATAAACACGAATAAAGTGTATTTGCACTTAGACCATAGAAGTATTGTTGTCCAACATGTTCGATAAATGATTGAGCTTTTTGTTCGACATTTTTTATCAATCTCTGTTCTTCAATGGAAAGTTTACCCCATCGAATTTGATAAAAGTCTTTAATTGACAACGAATATTTTTGAAATCGACTTAGAAATGGGGGTGGAATCTCTTTGAATTCATTTCGATTGATATGAACAATACATTGAAAATCTTCATGAACGACAACATCGATTGTTTTTGGTCCAATGGCAACTTTCGACCAGATTTTTCTGTTATCACCGGTAGCCATGATCGAGAAATTTTGATTGAAAACATCATAAAGTGAACCATGAATACGTCCAGTATTGATCATTAGAATAGTTTTGCCTGTTTCCATACATAATTTGATCGTTGAAAGGATCTCAACGTTTCTTAATTCATTGTTGACATCGTCTGGAAAATCGGACATTCGAAAAACAACTATTTTATTTGGATCAAGATCCAGAACGCCACTCTGCGCCAATAGACGTACAGCACTTTCATCTTCCGATTCATCGATGATTAATTTGTATCGTCCATAGAGCCGACGTCGAACGGAATCCAATTTCATCGATTGATGAAGAATCGTTGGTATGTTTCGACGTTGATTCGGTAATCGAAAATCTGGACATTCTTCTTTGACAGCTTGGAAAAAGATTTGAAGGAGTTCTTCGAATTTTTCTTTTGAAATTCCATTGAAATTTTCTTCTAATGCATGAAGAAGACTTAGAGGTGTAATACCATCGACACGTGTTTCCTGTTCATCCGTTGTTGTGGTTAATTCGAAGCGTAATTGACGTAACATGTAAATGAAATCTCGATCATGATAAATTTGTGGAATACTTTGAGTGCTCAATAAGCGACGGTAACCTTGGCAAAGACCACTAATAATTTTTTTCAAACGATCATTGACTCGTTGCTGTTGATTATTGATTTGCAAACCCAAACATCCATAGGCCAGAATGTTTTGATCTTCTTTCGATGGTAAAGATCGATAAATACAGATCATTCGATTGGCATTCGCTGCATCGAACGATTTATTGGCAACAGCAACGAAAGCCACTTTACATTCATCCAAGTAAGGATGTAATACTTTCAAAACCATTTTCTTTTCATCGGGTAGTGACGCTTCATCCAAGAACACAACCTAAACAAGAACAGTATTGCATGCGTTCGTAGTCATATCTGATTAACTTACGCAGCGTGTTTCCATTCGATTCTGTTCGTAGTGTTGTTCACGTTTAATAGCACGATCCAAAATGTATGCAATATCATCTGATCGAGTGTATTTCGAGCCCAAACAAAAGAATGGATCGATGGCAGGTAACTTTTTACAAAATGGTGTATTCGATAATTGTGGACCTTGCAGATTCTGCAGAACAATCTGGAACGAGAGTGTTTTCGATTGACCTAAAGACAAAAAGAAATAGTCAGCACAGAGATCCCACGCAATTTTTGGCGTCTTGTTGATTTGAGTACATACTGCAATGCAGTAACATATATGTACTATATTCATTCTTTAAAGTTCTATCGAAGATCATATGAAATATTTCTCTAACGCATTTGTACTAACCTGGAGCACCGATGATACATAAAGGTGTTCTAGTAACAATGCTAACCACAATACCAAAGATATGTTCACGAACCTAAAGGCATGATAGGTCAGATAGTTGCAAAACGAAGCCAAATGCTTACCGCTTGATTGATCGCAACGCCTTGAGGGATCAGGAAATTGTTTGGATTGACAAAGTTCGCCAATTCCCGTTCTATGATATCGACGAAATCTGGAACTTTTTGTGATAGAATACTAGCCAGCTTTTCTCGTGGTGGATCTTTCTGATTATTTCGCTGATCATTATCTTCTTGCGTCGGAAGTCGAAAGTAATAGGTCAAAGCTAATGCCAACACAATGCAACGTATTACATCAGGTTCAACTGTTTCATCGTCGAATCTCATCTTCCAAAAGAATTCGATCAGATTGAAACATCGTTGAATTTCTCGTTGAGAAACAGAATTTTTTCCTAGAAACGAAAGTATCAAGAGAGAAGTTCGCCTAAAAAAACAGAAATTTTCGGTTTACCGAGAAACTTTTCGCAGAATACTTGGGCTTTTAAGATACATTCGGTGAGCATTTGTTGGATGTAAGAATCAAGAGATGTCAATTGTTTTCCTGGAAGTGAAAATGTAGCGATTTTCTTAGTGATGTAGTCCTCCAATGTATCCGATTCTAATGTGCTGTATGAAATTTTCAGATTTTCCAGGGCTTGTGGCAATTGATGAACAAGGTAATCACTACGATGGACCGCCTTTTCGTTATCCTGTTTTACTGACGATGGATTGATTGCGGCAGTGAAAAAGATATTCTTAGGCAAATTATTTCCATGGAAAGTACCATCCATAAACATTTCTTTGAACAACCCAAGGCACGATGAGGTATTTACCTCATCGAAGAAGATGATCAATTCAACATCGGGAACCTCATTAGCTAATTGACATATTGGTTTCATAAAATCTTCTAATTGTTCCTCTGTGATATCTGGATGAAGAAGAAGACGATAGAATAATGGTTTCGTATTTGTATGCATCAAATATTCATCAAATAACTTGATCGAGTTTAGAGGTGATTCTTTGAGAGTATTGGAATCGAGTAATTTTCCAAGTTGAGGACTGATACTCATCAAAGGAAAACTTGTGATATGAAATGTGATGTGTTCGTGAAGTAATTTATTTAATATGTGACATGTTTCCAGATCCGTGTTGTGAGTAATATTGATGATTGTTTTCCAAATAAATCGCAATATACCGTTATCATATAGCAATTTATCTTCACCATATCCATGATTCGAAAGTGTTGATTGAATTTTTTTCAAAAATTCACCATCTATTGGTTCGGCTCCAGCGGCTGCTTGACCAGGAGGAGCTAGTTGTTCCATTGATCCTCCCATTCTAAATAGACCATCTTCTTCTATCAAATTTTCATTATCTACATCTTCATCTTCGTTCTGGTGTTGAAATGGAAGATCGATTTGTGGTTCATTGTTCTGATTACTCGTTCCGAATAATTTCGTTTTGATTTGCTTCAATATTGCATTGAACAGATTGGGATTCTTCCTTAAAGTGACGGCGAGGATGTTAGGGTGAGGATGTATGGGTAAAGGTGATGGTGGATCTTGAAATATCGTCTCGCGCAACCACACGCAGATTCGTTCTCGGACACGTGGGGATATTTTTCCATCAATTGAGCCCTTTGTAAGCTTCGCATTCAGTAGCATCGAATAAAATTTCAGCAAAAATGTTTTTCCAACACCAGTATGACCTTCAATAATCAAAGGAAGCTTCGTCAATTTTCTTTCATGAACATGAAACAGTTTGTAAGTAAAATTTTCGGTGAGAATAAACTTCGTTTCGTTCATCACATCGATAAAATCATCGAATCGAATATTCAAAAGCCAAGATAAACATTTAGGAAAATAATTTTTTCCTTCGAAATCTGTTCGTTTTGCTGGATCTCCTCGGTGTTTGAAAAGCTCTTTCACACTTTCAGGTACTCGATCCCAATTTGTATGCAACAAATAAAGTGAAAAACCAGGATCATAAACAAGGAATATTCGAGGATAATCGTTTCCTTGAAAATTCATTTGTGAAAGATTTTTCGCTTCTTCTATCATTTGTTCCATTGCTCTTGAACCTAAATGTTCATCATTATCGTTAAAGCGATAAAAACCAGAATCAGTAAAAAATCGAACACGTCGATACAAAAATTTGACAAATGAAAGTTCGAATATTTTATTTCGTTGTAACTCCGGTGCATTTTTTATCATACAATCGTTAATCTGACGACGGCATTCTTCTTCAGCATCCAATAGAGCGAACTGCAATCCAGTGTCTCTTTCTGCAGTGGCTTCGACGTAAAGTCGATTGATCGTTCGATCTACATACGCTTTCAGGAATCGCGCCACAAGTTCTTCTTGCTTGCCAATATAGAGTTTGTGATTGCTTTCAGTAACTTCTTCAAAACTATTCGAATTCAATAAAGATAGCAACGGAAGAATTTGATTGAAATTATCGCTAATATTTCGATTGTATTTATCTGTATGAGGAATTTCAATGAAGAATGTCCATTGGTGGTCATTCGGTAATGAAAATGCCAAACCACTGTCTGTATCCATCAATCCACCACAAACAAATAACGAAAAGAATGTGCGATTAAGTTCAATGAATGGAGCATGAATCGAAATGTTGAAATAAACCTTGGGCTCTTCATCATTTTCTGTTGAATCGAATGAGAGCAATGTATTGATTAATGTAGTCAAATTCAATCGATCGTTAATGCTCATAGATAAAATTTGTGGAGTTTTGAACTGAGTGTTAATCCGATGGGTTTTTCCTAAAGAAAGTCAAAAGTCATCATTGCTGGCACAAATGAGTTTATTCAACTTACCGACACCAGCCTTTCCGCAGATCACACGTAGTCGTGGTTTGATTAAATTGCTACTTTGAAATAGCTCGTTGAGTTTTCCATTGGCCACCATTGCGTTTCGTATTTGTGGCGTTACAAGATACGGTCGTAATCCTTTTCTTGACGTTAGTTCTCTTGAGAAATAATAAACTTCACCATGTGGTCGATCAGATTTTGTCAATGTGTCTTGTTCATTGAACAAAATTTCTCTTAGTCGATGATGCATCTTGTCAATGTCCATAATCACAAATGTCAGGTGATAGAATGTTTTAATACGAATGAAGAATAAACGAATATCATCTTCTGTTGCACGAGAACACCAAAGGATTTGAAACGATGCTGGTAAACGATGACTGAGTATATTGATAAGAATTGAAAATGTTTCCATATCAAGATCATGATCGAGTGGATTTGGTTCAGCTGGTTGATCTTTATGAGTCAATGTGACTAGATACTGCTGATTGTCATTGATTGCTGTTCTCTCGATAAATAATTCTTTTCCATCATTAAGAAGTTCTTTCAAAAATGCAGATAATTTCTGCAAGCATGATTCACCATTGGATCTATTCGGTATTTGGTGTTTGTCATATAATCGTTGGATATTCTCTACTGATAGATCACAAGTAAACAAACGCAATGAACGTAAATAGTGTCTCAATGATTTAATTGTTAACTGAAGTTCTCGATCATCATTGAAATTCTTATCGCTTTTGAAATGTAACTTTTTCAGGAAATTCCATTTCATTCGATTATCTGGTGTTGATTTAGTTAATAGAATGATCAATATCATCACTTGACGATTGGAGAACAATTGTAATAGATGTGTCAATTTTCGATATTCTTCCAAATGTTCTAACCAAAGTTTATAGTTGAGTACCACTTGCTGATGAATCAAATGAAGTCGATCTGTTTGTCTTTCAACGAGTCTTTTCAAAATGTCGATCTCTTCATTTTCATTATCTTTCACTCCGGATAGAATTCGACTAATTTCACCTGCACGATCAGACAATTGAAGAGTTTCTTCTTTCAATTGATAATCTGGATGACCAGCCATTTCCAACTGAATCATCGTTGAATAGATATTGTTGATCGTGTCCAATAGTTTCAATTGTTCATTTAATAAAATTTTTTTCGATTTCATTGCTTCAGAAAGATCCACATTACAAAATGTCAGCTGCCGTTTATGATCATCGACTTCAGATGTAGTCAAGACAAATTTGATTTTCTCTGGCTCTGTTGGCTGTAGAAATCCATCATTTTCGTCGATTGGATTTTCAGAATCATCCTTGATCAAGGTTTGAGTTTTATTGATTGAATACTCGATCTCAAATTTGGATTTTTCGTTTATCAATCGTCTTAATTGAATATGAACAACACCACTTCGATAAAGATGTTCCATAGTTATCAAAGCGTTATCTAGCACGTTCGTTTCATCAGCCGATAGCCACATATTGACAAGTTGAATGTTATCGTTAACAACTGAAAACAATAAAAAAATGAAGAGAAGATGATGCCGACATTTCTTCTAGATGAATTCCTTACTTTGCATGTGTGTCACTGGAGTATCTTCGAAGTAAGGTAACTTGGCTACATTGTCAACGAAATCTTCAAGAGTTCTTGCTTTCATTGTAAAAGGTTCACAAAGTCCGTAGATGATGATCCACGAATTAAGAATCATGTTGTTTCTTTCCTGGAGTTGAAATTGTGTTGTTAAATTATCTCGTAGTTCTTGAAATCGACGTCTTCCATGAATTGTGTACAAGTCGGCTTTTCTCATCATTTGGATAACATTCGGACATTCGGATGCTGTTTTAATCAGTTGTAAATGTTGATTGGTTAATTTTCGAAATCGTTGTTTGAGACTTCGATACTTTTCAGTAATCTCTCTTAGCGAACAGTTTTCGTCACTTAAGTGTATGATTGAATTAATCGTTTCATCGGCATTTTCATTTGAAATAATGTTGAATCTCTGTACACAAGTAACAATGATGTTGATGTAACTGTAATATTGATAAATCTGCAACCATTCGCAGATTTGTTCGATTTCTTGTTCTGTAGCTTCAGCGTTGTTTGTCGGTTCTTTTTGGTTATTGGCATTGGCTATCAAACGATAGGAAAATAACTTTTTTACTTCATCACGAACATTAATATTCTTGTTGCAAAAGATAGCCTTCAAATCGACCATATCCTTCAATTTCATTCGTCCATTCAAAAGACTATCAATAAAGTGAAAAGCTCGCTCCAAAACTGTAGCCAAGTCTCTTTCAGTAGCAATGCGACCGTTTCCACCATAAGATGACGAGTATATCATATTGAGAATTCCTTCAAAAAGATGAGATTTCGATAATAAAGCTTGTTTAACCCTAAACCAAACCACTCTCTCAGCGCGTCCTTTTTCGTTATTAACTTCTATTGTCAATATCCCACTGCTTAAAGTTTCAAATTCGCCTTCCACCGTATGTCTCTCCACACTAACTTTATTACCCAAAGATAGCACTTCCATTCTTCCATGATTATCGTCTGAAGTAAATGTGACTTGAACAGTGATTTCTAATATTTCACTGGCGATAAACCATTGAATATGTTGCCGTTCTTGAATTTTAATATCACGAAACGACTTTTGCTGAGGCATAATCTTAAAAGAATTATCTGGCTGAGAACGTTTTGTTTGTTCAATAAATTTTGAAGATGTATGTTTTTGATTGATCACTGCTGGACTGAGAACTTGGAATGGAATTAAACAATTCATCATGCTGCAAAGTCTTCGAAGATCCTTGAATGGTTGAACAAGTGCAACAGTCTTTTGAACAAGCGCTTTCATCTCTGCAATTGTTATTTTTGATTTATCTCTTGCTTGATGTAAATCTGCGTACAATGATATTGCATTTTCGATTTGAAAACTTTTCAGCCAATAGACGATATGAATGAGAACTGCTATCATTTCATCATACCATTTAATCCAGTTATTAACCTGATCAAGGAATCGATGATAATAGGTAATACGAGACTCATTGATGCTTATATTTATGTCGCTTGGTGATGGTTGTAGCAGAGTCATTAAATTTGCTGGAACCGTAGGAAATTTGAAGATTTGTGGATTCACCGAGTCTACGATTGGCTTAAGATCATAACTTGAAATAAAGCAATCCGCGATCGACTCTTTCGGTGGATCAATATACACCGAACAGTGTTCTAAGAAAAAAAAATGTATTCATTATGTGTCACATCGTTTTCTTAAGTTTACCTTGCAGTTTTAGAACATTGCTGATCGATCGTTCTACTTGCTGAATGAAACGAGCCATTTCTTCACGAACAGGAGTTCCATCGTTTTGTTTTCCCAATGAAAGGATAAAATTCATGATATTGTCAATCTTTGGAAGCGCCAAAATCGATTTAAAATAACGTGAAATCACTTGATTAAATAGATGATTGATAAAAATAATGGTAAATACGTCATTTTCATCATATCGATCATGTTTAACGATTTCCATCCACTGATTTAGTTTCATCAGGACTTCCTTAGTATTTTCGAATGTTGGTTTCATAAAACTTAAATTAAGGATTCGGCCCCAAATGTAGATAATCCATTGATTTTTCGCACTCCTTTCACATAGATCTCGATAAAAATTGCAATCTAATATATCCACGAAGTCTTGAGAATTATTTAGTAGCAGAGAGACTTGAATCCAATCGTCATGGATAACATCTTTCGGATCAACAGAATCTAGAATTTGATTATCGAGTTCGTTCATTTTGGAGATAATATTCTTCAGTTTTTCTTTTGAATTGCCATTATTTTTATCGCTTGGGAAAAACATATTTTGAATAATTAATGAGAAAGAAGGTTCTTTAGCTGCATCCTTCATTGATGATGCGTATCGGATAAGAATTTTCAATAGTTTTTTATAATCTGATTCATAGTATTGATATCGATATCGTTCATCTGTCAGCTGTTGTATAATGAAAGCGTTGAAAATAGCCATATAGACTTTTTCAAAGAGAAAACGTTTCTCTTCTTGCATTTGTTGCATGGACTTATCAGCCAAGTCTGTGTAATCAAAAAACTTTGCATGAGTAACATTGGAAATACGAGCATTCACTTTCAGAAAGAGATGTTTTTGAATAATTTCATTCAGTTCGCTTATATGGCATAGATATAAGAAAAGCTTCCAGAGAGTATCTGTGTCGACACAAGCAGCGTACGCGGATAGGTATTCTGCAAAGTAACGTTCATGACGACCCAAATTGCAAAGAAAATCGCCAGCATGAATCATTTTATAAGACTTATTCTTTGATTCCCTTGTAAAAATAGGGAGAAAATGATCCAGGAACTCGTCAAACTTCAAATCTAATGATTTGAGCTGTTCATACAGTACTAATAGTGATGATTCATCCGATTTTGTGGCTAGAGAAAGTCGCGAAATAAGTTCCACGAAACCAGGCACATCTAATGAGAAATCACTGAATCCCAAAGTGAAATCAACATACTGCTCAATAAAATTTTGCAAGGACAACAATTTCTCAAAATGCTCAACATCGTTGATAATACTTTTCCACTGCAAGCGTTTATCAGGATCCATTAATGACGAGGCTTGCAATGATAGTTTGCAAAAGCAAAAAAACGAATTTAAGTTTGCTCTATTGACTGTGGTTAGTTCCAAACGATAAGTGTCGATCTTCATTCTTCTTAATAGATCTGTGCCGATTGTACATAGATGTGGCTGTGAGCCTTTTGTATCAAGTAAGATTTTCGTGGCATTGAGAATGATTGCCTCTTGAAGTTCTTTCACATGCCTCTCTAAGGAATAAGTAATATTATACTTCTTGATAATCTTTATATATTCTTGGATTCGTGCGTACACATAAAGATATGCATCAATTCTATCACTGAACCGGTTACGTTCTTCTACCGATTTGAAACTCTCGTTGACACATTGAGTTATGAAGTCAACGTCGTCGTAAAATGCGCTATTTTGATGTTGATCGTTTTCTTCATCGAAAGCAATGAAACACGCTAAAATGCGGTCAAAAAATGTTTGCCCAACAGTTGTTTCAACGTCGAAGATATTGCCGATACGTCTTGCTGCATCTGTCAATTTTTCTCCTCCAGTGAAAAGACTGAGTACTTTATTCAGTATGCCCATTCCAGATGACGTATTTGAAAAAAGTCTAAAGTATCTAGAATTCGTTAGAGAAAAAAGTCCCCTAGATAGTCATTGAATTCGAGAGGAACAACAAAAAATGGATTTTTTAGTTATATGCTGTTAGCGATAGCAACTAATAACTACTTTACTTACAATTCCGAAAGAAAAAAAAAACAATGAGTCACATTTTCTGTACTTTTTCCCAGACCAAATAGAGAGAAATATGTGATTCGACAATACATTACCGTTTTATAGACAAAAAAATAGGAGAAACTAGAATAAGTAATACCTATTTCATTAGGTGACATTGTCTTGAGTTGAGTAAGTATAAAATGAAATCAAACAATGGTTTACTGGAAAATCGACAATTGGAATTTCGAAATCGGAATTTCAGCAGTATTGTGGAACTTCCAGTACTGTCTATTTTTTTCTGCATTTCAGCCATAAAAGACATCACGTGGCATTTCATCACTCTATTTCAGAACATTAACATATTACGTGACATTCTT